CCCAAAAGTTTGTTATTGATGGCAACAGAAGCAGAGACAGGTCTAAAGTTTGTTGACAAGATGTAAGTATGGAAAATATTGGCACACAAGTTCTTTACATTTCAAGTAGAGCTGCAAAGAATAAAACTCAGAGGTACGTCTGAAACTACTCAGGCACATTGTCAGCTAGGAAAGAGTAGGAAGCCCCTTCTACTCAATTAATCGTACTGAAACCAGGATCTGAGTAAAGAGGTCTTGAACTCCAAACAAAGCAATGGACTAGAAGCAGCTATTTACGTCTTTATAATAGCCTGAGATGGAAGCTACTGTTTATGTGGTGGTAGAGCAAAAACATAACCCTTCTGAAAGCCATTCTCTTTCTCTCCCCGCAAAAAGATGACAGTAGAAAAAAAATGTGTGCATGTAAAAAAGGTGCAGTATATGTTTATTTAAAATAAGTACTCACACAGAAAGACATCGATAACACATGGAGAATTCAGTCAGATTCTTGCTCCAAATTATCTTTCCCTCACAAAAAGTAATACAAGCTGAAGATTAGACTTGCTATTTGGCAATGTAAACATCGCAAAAAGAGTATGTGTTTCCATTAGGAGGTACTTTGTTACATTTTAACTCTTGGCTCACCTCATGTTACATGACACCCGTAGGTAGAATATGACTATAAAGTTGGAGCAATATTCACAGAAGTTGGACAATGCTCAAATATACTATTTTTTATAATAAAACCAAACCAAGCCTACCCACATGTAACAGGTGAACCATCTTTAGATTAGCTGATTAAGGTTTCAACTGTAAAAGGAATTCTTTTGTCTTTTTCAGTGCCAGTTTCCCAGCCTACAGTTTTTATTTCATTTTGAACCATAAAATTCAGTCTATTACATGAGATAACAGATCACAAAGATGAAACCATCCACCTCATTTTCTCTGAAGTTATAGTTCAGAAAGGTAGATGCTGAGATAGCATTATGCTGAGATCCAAGAGCCTCAGTGTTTAAATTACTAAAAACTTGTAAAAGGTTCAAAAAATGTTGTGGGTTGACCCCAGCCAACAGCCAAGCACCCACACAGCTGCTCACTCTCTCTCCCCTCCATCCCCAGGAGGACAGGGTAGAGAAGAAGAGCAAAAGCAAGAAAACTCACAGGTCAAGATAAAGGCAGTTTAATAAGTGAAGAAAAGAGGAAGAACACCAAACCACCAAGTGATGCAAAGGCAATCACTCACTATCTCCCACAAGCAGACCAATGCCCAGCTAGTCTGCAAACAACAGCCATCTTGGAAGCCAACCCCCGCCCCCCACTCCCCAGACCTTCTTCCTCAACGCTGTTTTTATTGCTGAGCATGACATTGTCTGATACGGAATAGCCCTTTGACCAGTTCAGGTCAGATGTCCCAGCTGTGTCCCTCACAAATTCCTGTCCACCCCCAGCCTACTTGCTGTGGGGGCAGAGCAGGAAAAAGAGAAAGCCTTGACCCTCTGCAAGCACTGCTCAGCAACAGCCAAAACATTGGTGTGTTATCAACACTGTTTTAGTCACAAATCTAAAACACAGCACCATATGGGATGCTGTGAAGAAAGTTAACTCCATCTCAGCCAGACCCAGTACAGAAAGAAACCCCATGAATTCAGCTATTAATCTGCATGAGATATATCACATTATAGCTCACTATCTGGAAGCCCAAAATCAAAAGCAATTCATCTACTGTAAAATGCTTTCAGCATATGAAACAATGTGCCAGATTTATCAAACCTGAAAGCAGTCCACTACAGTCAATACTATTCTTAACATTTGCAGTAGTGGCTTTGACCAGTGTATTTATGAAACAAGTAAGCGGTAAGGCCTTCCCCAAACATGCAACTTTGTATGTGAGCTTGTGGGACTTGTGTCCATGTTATTAAAATTGATCTGTTTTGCTCCTACAGTTTGGATATTGTTATTTACTGTTTACTCCCAGCAGGTTGTAAGCAGTATTGTACAGTAGATATGCATAAATAGAATCATAAATAAAAAAAGCTAACAAGGTGCTCAGAAAGCAGCTCAATGACTTTGCCACTGCACATGAGAACTCATTATTAGTTTATGATGCTTGTTTACTCTAGTTCTTGAGGGGGGGAGGGGGGAGAGGGGGGGGGCAGGCGGAATTAAATATACAACATCAGAAGCTGCAGTTTCCATGCATCTCTTCTCCTGCCCATAAGTAAATATCCTAGGAGCAGAGAGTAGAAGTGATGGTCTGTGGAAGTCAGCAGTCTCTCTTCACAGAACCTGAGAGCTCCTTGGTGTTTGTAGGAATGGCTGTTCATTAGACCCAAAAATATCTCAAACAAGGCCACTCCCAAAGACAGCAGTTTTTTTTCATCTACCATGAAACTTGCTTCTGTTAAGGGTAAAGGTGTTGAGCACCACAGATGTTTAACCCACTGAAAGCCTTCAGGAGTTTAAAGCGTAAACAGTGCATAGCTTTCTGGCACTTTCAGATGTTTAAAGGCAAATGTAGTCCCTCATTACCTCTTCGGGAAACTACTCCTCACCTCCAGAAAGTAATACAGGAGAGCCAGTAAGGTGTCCATAAATAAACCAAAAAACGCCACTCCACACTAAGACTGCCCACAAAAATTAACTTGTAGCACTGAGAAGCATTTAGCGATTCAGTTTTACATGTAAAGGCCACCCCTGCAGAGCGGTGAGGCTCTGCCGGGGCAGGTCAGTACTCGCAGCTCTGCCTTGCCGGAGCAGGAGCTGCTTTGGGGCTCCATCCCAGGAGCAGGAACTGCTTTGGGGCTCCATCCCAGGAGCAGGAGCTGCTTTGGGGCTCCATCCCAGGGGAAAGTGCCTTCCCAGCAACTCAGGTGCTTCTCTCCCTGCAAGCAGGAGCTTTCTAGGAAAGGCTGGGCTCACTTATAGTCGGATTTGAACATGAACTAAGTAAGGCTATCTGCCCAGGGTTTTAAAAGTAGCATTGCTCACTGAAGAGATCTGTCATGAATTTGAGAGGCTAAGGCACAACAAGAGCACGCAATCAAGGCAATGATTTTCCATGTCCAACTTAACACAAACCAAGGTGGCTCCATTTCCAAGAGAGCTGAAGCCACTTTAAGGCATATGGGGGGCACAGTGAACACTGATAACAGCAGCTGTCAAATCTAAACATGACTACAGATTTCCTTCTCCTTCTAATACATGCAGGTGACCCAAATTTGGGTTCTGGGACACTGCTGAACTAAAAACACCCATAGTTTTCTTTGAGGTATTAGAACTTCTAGAGCTTGCGCACACCTCTGTCGCTTGCTACGGGCCTCGATGCAGGTGTGCCAGAACCACCAGAACCGCTCAGGCTCTGCCCTGGGTAGACATTTCTTGGGCAGGCTTCGCTCCCTTGAAAACGAGCAGCAGCAAAAGCAGCAGCCCTAGCTCCCCTTTCCTCTCCCCCACCTTCCCCGCAGCAGGGCAGGCTAGCAGCAAACAGGGATATTCTCTATTCCACCGTGCTATACAGCAAGCAAGCTCACTTCTACATATATTCAAATAGAAGTTTCTAAACCGCAAAATAAATACAGTTCTTACTGTAAGTTATGCAGAAAAATGTAGGTTATACCTAATATTTCATGGTAAAGGTAGTGTTATTTAACTTTTTTCCTTGTCCTCAGTTGTAGTAGATACTAGAGGCCCATTCGAATGAAATTAAGACTTCCACAGAAAGTAACAAACAAGCTTACTTTCTGGTTTTTTTACTCCCTGTCATAACAAAATAGTGATCATCTTGCCTGCTTTTCGTAAGAGGACCTTTTGATACACCAGGCGTTCCTTTGTTACACGCCGTTGCTGATTTTCCTTTAGGAAGAGGCTTCTTGGCTGCTGGGGCCAAGCTTTCATTTGCTTGCAAGTTTTTGGTTGAAGGCTGACCTTTTGTGGAAGGCTGCGCTGGCTTTTTGGTCACTGCTGCTTTGGCTGAAGTTTGAGGAAGCCGTACAACAGATAAGGGAGTGCGCTCAGGAGGTTTGGATGAAGTGGGTCCAACCTGAGGGGGTTTACTGACATTTGGCTGCTTATTGACAGCTGTCGATACGTTCCTGCTTGTAGATACCAGCGTAGGTGGCGACTTTGATGCTTTGCTAACTGCAACGGAAGGTGCAGAGGCTGAGTGTTTTAGGACTGAAGCAGTTTTCAGGTTCCTTGCCAGGTCAGAAGCTGTTTGTGGAGCTTTCTGAGGATGCTGAGACCCAGTTCCTGAGGTCTGAATAGTATTTTCAGAAGGAGGTTTTGCAAGGAGCTGCTGAGAATGTGCAAACTTGGCAACAGCACGCAGGTTTGTAACAGGCGGCCGGGCAGCCCTCGGAGCAGCTGAATTCGCTTTGGTTTCAGTGACAGATACAGGTTTGCATTTAGCGGTGACACATTTCTGTTTTGAAGCCATCGTTTCAGCTGTCCTAGACAAGAGAGACGGCTGTTTTTTAGAGGTCGAGAGGGCAGGATGCAGCGCTGGTGCCGGTGAGCTCCGAGCCAAGGCAAATTTCACCTTGGGAGCGTCGGGGGACCGAATACGTTTGCGCAATGTTTCGGAGTGAACAAGAGCCGTTCTCGTTCCTGCAGATGAAGAGCTTTTGCTTACAGGCTGCGAAGGAGCAGAAGCTGGTGAGTTGTGTGCAGGAGACTCCAGTTTCTTTGAGGTGCCAGCTAATGGTTTGAAAGGAGACTGCACGCCTGTCGCTGAAGACCCGTGTAATTTGGACCTGACCGTCAGTGACTTGGCTGTGGAGGATGGGGGCACCGGCACTTTGGGTGATGCCAGGGCAGGAGACTGAGGACGTTTAGATAAAGTCTTCTTGGCACTGGCCCCGAGAGCTGAAACAGGAGCAAGGGGTTTTGATGGCTGCTTTTGAAACATATTGACAGCTGACATTGGATTCATGACAGGAGGCTCCTGAATTCTAGCTGACGAGCTGGGGGCACCGTCACTGGTGACCCCTTTCTGAAACGCCAGGATCTTTTGTTCCAGAGTTGCGAACTGAAGCACTCGGCACGGATCATATTTAAGCAGAAAACCTTGAAGAGTGTCCCAGCCTCCACCAACACGTACCATCACGTGCTTGCCATGTAGCATCTGAGAATGGGGGAAGAGGGAGTGGGAGCAGAAGAACAAGAGAAACTTCTATCTTGTTTTATGCAGCACTATGTCTTCATCTTACATTAAAATCTATTGAAATCAAGTAAAAATAGGACCTCCTTTCTTACAGAGAAAGAATTAAAAAAAAAAAGAGAAATCATGTTATAAATAAGGCTTATACTTCCCAATTGTCTTATTAGATAGTTTCTGCTGCAGAGACAGTCATTATGCATCAGGAAATAATGAAAGCATATATACAGAAGACATTTTAACCATTCTGTCAGCATCTTTATTTAGTATACAGAGTTTTGGATACAGATTTTGTTCAAATTATGGATGTCCTCATAACATTTTAGTCTCAGAAACTCTTATGCCTACTGAAGACAGCACTCAACTATCCTACAAATTATAAACCCCAAGCATCCAGATTTTGAAAAAGCAACGTTCTCAGGATATTCTACTGCATTACCCTTATTTATATTGCAAGTTGCTACTGAAATTTTAGAAACACTACAGAAAAACATTAACTTGCTTAGTTTAGTGTGGTTGTAAAATCAACAGTTCTAAGATCTAAATAGCTACACCTACTTTGAATAGGAGATTGGATGACATGGTATCCCAACCTAAATCATTCTGTAATTCTAAAACAATACCATAAAAACGAGGTACTCCGCTTAAAAGCATTTCTCTCCCCATTATGAATATAAATTGGAATTCTGAGAAACTACTTACTCGTATGAAGAGTATTTTATCTCCCAGTCTATAACGTCCCTCTGATAAGTATTCGATTGAAAATCGATGGGAACAACTGCAGGGAGGATCTTCTGCTATATGTTTAACCTAGTTATTAAAATTGAAAGCATTCGTTAGTATTTTGACAGAAGCATGTGTTTAACAGTTTATTGAGATATTTACTACAAAAAAGATACTGATATCTTCATCTCGTAATCTAAGAAAACACTAGAATTCTATTCCCTCACAAGAAAATCTCAGCTACACAGAGCTTCAAAATGTAGAATAAAAGAAAGAACAAGCTGTATGTACAGACAAATATTTCGAGTTGTTCCAATCCAATTTTCAAGATTTCTTCAATTTTAAGTTATTTCACTTTCCTTTTTAAGATTTGTCCGTAACACTATGCATAGTAGCATCAAATTCCAACCACGATCTTGTAAACACACTGTTATGGTCTCTAGAAATTGAAACAAGCGCCCAGATCTCTCCCGTGACCGAATCCATTGCTACACCCGACCCAGGGCTAATTCAGCATTCTCCTTAACTTTTTGTAAGGCTTTTGTAAGTTAATCTTCTATGTGACACCCAAGAAGGAAACCAGTGAAAGAAAGAGAAAGGTAGTCCCCAAATAAGTCCAGGGTTAGCGAAGATGTGCCTCTTACAACCACTTAGAAACTTAATAAATTGGAAGGTCAAGACTATTGCCAAGCAGGAAGAATTGTGAGACTTTTCAGAGAAAGCGAGGATCTGGTGGCTGACTTTCCCAAAGAAGCAGAAGTTTTACATTACAACACAGAGGACCTTGAAAATAAATTAATTTTAAAGTCTCAACATGCATTTTTAAGCAAAATAGGAAAGTTGTTCATCATTCCTTTTGGACGAATTCACAAGATGTACAAATCATTTTCTTTTCTGCATACATACTAATTTCCAATTGGTACAGCTACAGAGGTTTTATTTAAAGTCTTTTTCAAAAGAGTTTCATCAAAGCCTACTTTAACATTTGATGAAGTTTTATGAAAACATCAAATTGAAGACAAGCGTACATCACAGTGATAGAATATTAACACACCAGAAAAATCGAATAAGAGTATTTCTTATACTCAAAGAAGCAATGAAAGGGGAGCAGGGGGAAATCAAGGCAAGTTATATGCACTGACACATTAACTCCAAAATATATATGACAGCATTTTGCTTACATTTAAAAAAAAAAAAAATAGTTGTTCAAAAGAGGCGCATACGCTTCTGTTTTCTATTTAAGGAGGCTCACAAATATTAGATGAAAAACAGCCTATGTTTACTGAGCCAGATCATACAAGTACTAAACTTAGAGTTTGATTTAAAGCCCATATCATAATAAATAAGTAGTACTTACTGCCTCATGTAGCTCCCCATGCTGACAACATGACTTGGCTGTGCTAATAGGTGACGGTGGTCCAGAGGTCATCAGAAGTGTTTCCTCTAGCTCAATTTCCTTCTCTAATTTTACTAGTACAGGAGGTTCAACTCCATACCTCAAAACAAATACAAAAGCAGAGAGTTTAATTGCTAAAGAAAACAAAAAGAAACTGATGATAAGAAACATGCAAAATTCTGAGTAGCTTGACTGACAGGGAACAGCACTACATCAGTCAGAGGAAAAACTGCCTTGATAATGCAAAAAGAAGGAGCAACTCTTGAGTTTCTAGCAGAAGTCCTCCCAAAGGTGGTCTTGGAGCTACCAGAGAAGGCAGTAAAAATACTGTCAAAACTACACAATTTAGGTCACATCCAGTTTAGATAAACTATCTTAAAGCTTCCAGCTCTGCACTAGAAATAAATTAGAATTCTAAATTCAGAAAATGATAAAGAGATACCTGCCAAAAAGCTTTAAAAATAAAGACCTTAAAAGTGTATTTAATGTTCACTGAGTTCTTCCACGATGTACATGTATCTATAAGCTGAATGTAGTATTTAAACACACAGCTATAAAAACCGGTGTAGATCAGCACTTCTCCATAAAAGATTAATAAATATTTTAAAAATACTCATATTGTATGGTGGTCCTAGAAAAGCTACTCATTACTTTCTGCACGGAATTAACATCTACTGCATTGTACTTAATGACCGCAGATTGTCTTAACTTTGTCTTAGCTTTTACTTAATAGAATATGTTCTTCAATTTCTTGTTAAGAGCGTGTATGGATCACATACCTGGATACAATGCGTCCAATTTCCAACAAACAAAGATACACTTGTCTTGGATCCTTGTGCAAAACTGAAAGGGAAGAGAATAAAAGGGAGTTACAGCTCATATTTACTGTGGGGAGGCCTGTGCAATTAGGTACAGGGAAGAGAAAATAAGGAATAGATGACTATAACTTTGCCATCATTCTAACCAGAGGCAAGCTACTTTATCATGGATAAAGTACTATATGCTTTCCAACTCTAATTTTCTATTCCATAAAGTGTTTAAACCTATCCTGGCACTCCTGAAATCAAACTCCTCTACTGTCCTTTATTTGATTTTACGCTGTTCTTCCTTGATGTGAACTGGAAAGAAAGAGATCTGAGAACTTTTCCTTCCCTATCCCCAAATATATTATAGCAGTCTTAAAGATTAAAAGCATTCAACAACTGCAAATAGGAAAATATACTCCATCTGTTCATGCTTGTGCATACAGACACAGGTAGGCACACACACACTACAGGTGAACAACCGTAGGAGATACACTACAAGGGATCTAGCTGACAAGTGGATGGCTACGCAGCCAGTCAGCCCAAGTGGTTTAAACCCTTGGCTGTGAAAGAATAATCCGGGTGACTGTTACCAGTTCAGTAAGCAACAGATCCTTTTTCTTATCACTTTAAAAGTTCTGGGGGCCAGCAGGGTCCATCCCTATGGCAGATTCACCCAGTTGCACTAGAAGATACCACTTTGCCAGTGGCAGCTCCCCTACCCCATGCTATACCCTCACTTCACCCCTCCCTATCAGCCCCCACCTCCTGCCCCATCCACCCAAAGATTTTCTTCAGAATGTGGTATCTTTGTGAGGACCTACCTGAGGAAGAGGGTCAAAACCCCTGACCGTAAGAAGGAGGCGAGAATGACATTGGTTTAAGAGGCAAACACTCAGATGCAAATATCAGATACTGGCTGTGATCACAGAAAAGATGCAACGCTCTTTCAGATACACTAGTAGCACAGAGTTTTGCACTAGGCTTTGCTGTTCAAGGACTGTGCCCACATTAACCCAGCTAGCGCCCAACGCAGAGGCTGCTTTGCACCCTTCGGTTCAGAGCAGCTCTAGCAGCTGCAAACCAAACTGCGTAGACACACTAAATGATCAGGAGAGCTGAAAATGAGATGGAAGAGTGGAGTGATAGCCAAATGGTGTGTAGGTGACAGTGGCAGTTGTTCTGGGTTTTCTTGACGACTTTGAAATGAAAACATTCAATTATTTTTACTGCTGCACTGAAGAATAGAAGAGGCAGAAGCAAAGCAATGTCTGTGTTGGTTTCTTGCAACTTCCATCTTTAGGTGTGCACGAAAAAGGAAGAAGAAACAAGGCCCATGACAGAGAAGGAAAATAGTTTAAAATTTCACACACAAGTAACTGCTTCCTCCCCTGCCCCCATTTAAGCCTCAAAATTGAGATGCTCTCAACATGTTCTAAGAACACAGTTGTATGAATGCTCTAGAAAACAAACTATCCCTGTGCTTTCCTAGCCAACTAGGTATACTGCCTAATAACTCAGAAACCAAAGGCTGGGAGAAAGGTCATTCAACTCCCCTCCACCACACACATGGCACCATTCTTTACCCCACCACCATCAAGTATAAGAAATGTGAAAAGCCATAGATACAATTTTCATATGGTGTAACATTTTATATAAACAAGTCTGACTTTCTTTATACTGTGCAGTAACAATATTCAGTAGAAACTGGAAATTCACTCTGAAGAGAAGCCTAATGAGCCAGCTCTATATTTACAGACCAAATCTAACATCTTTCTGATGTTCAATTTGATATTTAAAATGACTTTGCCTTAATTAAAAGACTGAAGTGTTTCCTAAAGTATAAGCTGAGTATGAAGTCAGATGTTCTTGTTTACATCATCTGCTCCAGTTTGTAAGTCTACTTTTTGAAAGATCTGATTATGAAGGGTAAATCTAGAAAAGAAAGTTGGCAAAGCCATAATCTAAAAGGTACTAGAGGTCATTTCACCTTTCTTTTTTTTTCCCCATAAGTGCTTTTGTCAGCTGTAACAGAAGAGGCATAATTTGCCTGAATCCAGAAGAGAAAAATCCCTAGCAGAGATCAAGACATTTGGCTTGATGTCAAAGGGCATCCCATGATGGCTACCCTCCCTTTCTGCTGTTTTAGGAGCCATTTAATTTATTTCCTTCACAGCCACCCACGCTTTTCAGGAGGTGTTGCTGTATGTATCTGATGGGAAAAGGACAACTGTCAAATTGTCTTTCCCCTACTTCATTCATAAAGAATAGCTTGAAAGTTTGATGGAGAACATCAGTGGAAAGAACATTTCATCAAGGAGGCTGCAAGTCTGCTCATTTTGACTGCCAAAAAGGCTCACAGAAGGTATTTATGCCACAAAGCAAGCTTGTGTCAAGAGTTACAATCAGACTTCAAAACACTTCTTGGCTATGAGCGAAAGCCACAGCACTAAGAAATCCTGTCTGCTTATCTCAGGGAGGCTAAACAGGTTCTAGTTACCCATCCACTTACAGGAACTAAGATGTTTAAGCAATACAATTCATACAAGTTGAACTGAAAAAAATATTAAAACTAATTTTCTTATAGCTCAGTTCTCCTACTCATCTGTATTTCATGGCACTGAAAAAAAATACACTCCCTAGTTAAACCAGAATGAGACAGATGCAAATGAGGATATTTTCTCAACTATTGTAAAAGATGATTTATCCAGTAGAGAAGGCATGGGCAGTCCAATTAGCAAGGAGGAGAGCTTAAAAGAAAAGCAGTTAATGAAAACAGTGCCTCCCATTTAAATAGCATTAAATGGCACAAAGACTTCAAGAAAATCTAGTAAATACAGTAACAAATTCATTTGATTACTGAAAACAAAGATACTTTGCAATTTTTTGCTATTCTACTTCACAGGCAGATATTTTGCCTTTTTTTTAAAAAAAAAAACAACCCCACAGTGTTTGGCTTGCCACAGAAAGGTTTGTATTAATTTTTACTGACATAATAGCACAGTTCCTCTTAATTAACAGTCAAAAAAATGTTATTCCATCTGGAAGTATCAGTCTAGAAGCTGTTTGTTGTAAGGGACAGACTGTGCACTGGGGCAGGCATAAACACAATTGGCATTATTTATTTTTATAACTATCTTATTAAATGGGAAAATACAAATGGTTTAGAGTCATGTCAGGCAAGTCCTGAAGTAAATGTTAATTACCAACAGACTGTTGTCACTTCAGGCACAACGCCCTGATGTAGTTACCAAATTTAGCAGCCATGAATGCATTATTCTGAGGGTTTTCTGCAACAAGAATGAGCTCTAATACCAAATAAAGGATCTTATTGTGAGTTGACTCCATGGCCTTATGGTCTTCCCGCACAGGGAAAGCGAAACGACGCTTTTCTCCTCTGTTTCTCAGTAGTCCTTTTTACTGAAGAAAAACATGCGAGTTTGCTGCACAGCTGTCACTCCTCCCCTTCTCCCACACAGCAACTTTTAAGAGGTTGGAAAAGCATCATGCAAGTTAGAGCAGTCACTGAACTGATTTTTCAAGGCTTTTATGTGAACACTGCTGTAAAATAAATGAAAGCATTAATAGCTTGCACAAGACAGGTACAGTTGTGACAAAGGCTTCACAAGACTATACACAAGAGATCTCCCTGACCAGGTAGTTATCCACATACAGATCAAAGCAAGTCTTAACAAAAAGATAGATTTACCTAAACCTTCAGATTCAAAGAGATAAGTCTCATCAACTCCAATGGCCCTACACCAGTTAAGAAAGTTGGCTGTATTATCTCTGGCAAAAAAAGATCCTGATGGAGCATCCTTCTTACATGGAACTTTTCTCATAGGAAAATTCTGGCAAGGGAAGAAAACAAAAAGTACATTGTGCACATCAACATTGCCAACAGATTTCAGAGCATATTTGCAAAGGAAAAGAAACTCTAAATTCAGAGTACAGAAACAGTGGTTAGTAACTATTTTGTGTTCAACCCACCACATATTCTATTAAAAAAACTACGCTAATGTTGAAGGCATTCCACCTTATCTTTGTGAGCAGTCACTAAGCGAACAATCCTTAGCTCTGCAACCTCTCCCAGAACCTTTCCCACATGCTGGGGTAAAAGTCTTACTGGTGGTTTCACAGGTCTAGACAATTATTCCCCCTTCCCAAGCTCTGTTCATAGCAGCAGAATGAGCAGAGAGAACCCCAAATCAACTAAGCTATACTTTGCTGCCAGATTTCAACATTTTAGAGCCCATTCTAGAAAGTGGAGGGAATCAGAAGGGAGCAAAGGGCAGTTTCCTTTAAAACAATTCAGTACTTACTTGTTTTTAAATTGCTATCTTCAAAACTAAAGAAACAGTTCAAAGGTACACAAGTTGGGCATCTTGTCCTCCTTAAAAAACCGTAAGGATTTGCAGCATTCATATGGTGCTAGTATAAATGGCATTTGGCATCCTAAGACTGCTGTCTTGTTCCCCCCCCCAATTAATAATAATTCTAATATTAGCAATTATATTACTTACTGGTAAATATCCATTATTTAAAGCTATTGTTTTCCTAGATAAAACAGTAAAAGGTAAACACAAAAAAAATGGTCTGGATATGTGAAACAGTTCCTCCTGCCCCCAAGGGAAACACTACCAATCAGGGTACGTTAGTTGGCAATCTACTGCTTGACAAATCCAAGCATTGCTGTAGCTATACTGGGTACCCGTATATTGAACATATGCTACCTGCACCAGCATGGCATGGTTTTATACTCCACAGTGATACATCACTATTTTTCATTGTACAAACACAGACTGCAAGTTGCTTGAGATTCACGTTTCAACTCAGCCTTGGTACCTAACAAAAACACTGAAGCCCATCTCCAGGTACATCTCAATACGGATGTTTTCATGGCTAACCTATATACTAGAGTTTAGCCACCAGTTTCTGGAATAAAACATTCCACCAAGTGCCAATGGATATCTTGTTCCAACCCACAGTGATGTTATCAGGGGAACAAACTTCAGACCTGGACTAGATCTTCCTTTGGCAAGACTTCTACTGAAACCAAACTAAAAAACTAGTAAGGACATTAGGATTTGATTAACAAAGTGAGTAAGTCATTTGTTGCATAAGGACAGTTTATCCATGTATAACGCCACACTGTTGTTAATCAGTCTCCAGACAGACAGCACACAGGATGCCACTTTGGGAAGCCTCATTCACCTGCTTTCCTTTTACTACTATTTACAGTTAAAGACTTTATATATGTATTAAAAAAAAAATCACAATATGACTCACCCTTAAACTATTTGAACTACAACATTTTTTAATTGTGTTTTGAAGAACACCAACCAATTGGCAGAGTAGTACCCCATTATCAAGTTCTTCTAGCAGTTGTTCTGCTTTGACTTCTATTCCTAAAAAAAAAAAAAAGGTCAGTATTAGAGTTATTCCACAGAAGGTAAAGAAGTTTCATATGAACTTAGAGGCAACTCAGAAAGCATTCCATCCATCATATAATTTACTACAGTGTTAAAGACTGAAAGTTAGTAGAAATATGTAAGTAAACTAAAATCAAATATCCACTTAATTAGATTTTAATTAGACTAACACGATTCAGAAATATAAATTAGAACAATTAATCATCCTACCTCTAAGAGGTGGCAGCTAATAAAATCTGAAACCGTAGCATGCATTTTAATGCAATTCTCCTAGCCATTCAGGCTCAAATACACCAGATCTTAACAGTACTACAGATACTAAGCGTCAGCATTGACTGGAATATTGGAAAGTCCTTTGAAATTTATTAGACAGTGATTTATTTTTAACCTCACCCAGCAAACCAGACAGCCAGATGGACAGATCTTCTTGCATAGGCACCAAAGTTGCTTCGTGCCGCACAGATATCCATTGGTCATACAGGCACACATCTGCCAAGCCTGGCCCATGTCTGGGAGTCAGAGGACTTCGGGGACTCAGGGGAAGGTCGTCTCCAAACCACACCTGCAGAAGGTTTCAGTAAGCTGAAGACAGCGAGCTCTAATATTTGCAGTCAGATGACGAAAACTTGCACTTCTGAATTATGCTAAAGATCTGTTACTCAAAGACGAAGTGTTCATTCCCCTTCAGAGAGATACACCAAACCAACACAACAGTAATCACGAATGGCGCAGCTCTCATTAGTAACTCCTGTATCAAAAGTACTACTACATTCATTCTCTTGACTTGTTTAGATTTAAAATTACATACTTTCCTGAATATTAAATAAAGAAAACATACATTAAATTTGTGGTTTTTTTTTTTTTCCCTCAGCACATCTTAAGTCGTGAAATCTGCGGTTTATCATATGATTTACTACAGACTACTGATTTCTCTGATCAAACATTTCAGAGGCATTTTGTGATTAAATCATTAAAATGATGATGTTAAAAGACGAAACATATTCCCATGCAAGAACATAACACACTTCTTGAACATGAATCCTTAGCATTTTGCTTAAGGATTTCATATTTTCAAACTGAGAGGTACCTTTACATTTCAAGAAAAGGACCACACTGAAATTTCACGTACAAAATTCCCAAAGACGAAGAGTCCTTCTGGTATTCTTAACTACTTTCCTTCAGTTCAGTGCATGTATAAAATATATTTATTTATACTTAAGTGATTAACTAGAATATAGTTTTTAAAAACACCTCTTGATCATCAAGCAAGTTTTTAAATAATCTCAGCCTTTGACTTCAAAACCTTCTTAGGTAACAGCACTTAGGAAGAAAAAGGATCACCTATCTGATATAACACTGGATTATCTATCATGTCACATTGCTCCATTTATAAAATGAGAAAACTATTACTTTTTTTTTTTTTTAACTAGAGATAACTCTGGGGATTCTAGCATTTCATCTGCTTCAGGGTAGAGCTTTGAATAAAAAAAAGTATTATACGGAATTCAAACATTACAAAAGGCTTTTACCTGAACTGCATTCTGCATGGTCATCTGCATTTACATTAGTTTCTCCCCCCTGGGGAAAGAGAAGAGAATTTTTAATACAGTCCCTCCTGCTTTCATGAAAATCCCAAGAAAAACCCAGCAGTGCTGTTTTGGCAAAATACAAGCGAGTCTAATCAGAAGTGGAGGGGGAAAGAGGGAAGTATCTTAGCAGCTAAGGTTTTGATCCAGTATTCTGTCCACTTCGGTTCTCTGCCCTTAAATAAAGTAGCAGTTATTACAGCACAAAGTAGCAACTAACTTTGTATGCATAAATAATACTCAAGGTTTGCATGATTTTAAGGAGCTGTAAGGCATTTACTTTGCCAAAGAGAAATATTAATACTTCAAACCATTCTTGGATTTAACAGTGTTAGCATTCACTCCTTCCTTCTCAGCTATCACAAATGTATCTTGTACATGCATGCATACACATATATAAGCATCCTGAGTTTACATTAAATACTTTGAAGATTATGAAATTCTTAAAGCAAGAAAATGATTTTGAAGAATGAGATTTCTTCTTGCATAGATACATGAGAGAAATCAATGTTTTTATTAATTTCTGTTGGGATTTTGACTTAGATTTCCAGGCAGCTAGCACATGCCCAAGTTTTCAACAGAATGCTGCAAACCATTGTAGCAATACGGTTATCAAGACAACCCCCTGGCAAAACAATCCTTAGGAGAAGTTTTAAAGGCAATCTGGTCAACGCCTTCTCTCCTGAAGCCAACACAGTATTTTCCAGCAATGCTTTCAATCGTGGGAAAACCCAGCACAAACTCTACACTGGGCTGGGGATCAGCAAGTCTCCCCACATAGGCTCCAGGTCTAGAGATGCACAGTGTTACCAGGCTAGCAGCATACACACGCACCAGAAGGAATTTCCTCAACATAATTCTCCACAGTGGTAGTGGAAGGCATTACAACCCCAAAATGTACTTATCTGTGTCTTGAAATCAGTTAAAAACAACTTTCTTGCTCCGTTACTTAATAGCTGCAATAAAACTTCATCTGCCTGATTAGGCTGGAAACCAGATTGCAGACATAGTCAGACAATTTTAATTCATCTGTTTTCCTTTAAAAATGAATAACTCCCCTCTCCTGTCCCAGATGTTTAAGCTTTATACACAGCCAGTATTCTTCTCTCCTCCTCCATCTGTTGCACAACCTCACCTTCCTACGGCAAAAGGCTGAATAGCCCATCACAGAAGACCCAATTCTCATAAAAATTCTCCCCCTTCCTCTTACCCAGAAAGCAGAACAGTGCTGTTTCCTCCCCATTTTTCCCTCCCACTGCCTTGAACCTCACAGGCTACATAGGACCACACATGTCAGGCATTTCAAACAACTTACCTCTACGACCAGCAAACGAGCAACCAGTTTGTTTTCAGACTGAAGCCACTTCCTTCTATCAGGACTGCTAGCACTTCTCAAACTTTATCAAAGACACTTCAAGTGATATCTTTCCCCGTCCTTTTATTTCTAGGGATGAAAAAAGAAAAAAAAAAAAAAAAAAAAAAAAAGAAGAAATAAAATCTACTTCAAGTCATTTTTCCTTCTATGAATGAACAAGGGAAGGGCAGTGTATATACCAAGCATTACTAATGAGCATGTTATGCTTCCCACAGCTTTGTCCAGAGGAATACATTTTCCTTTAGCATAAGAAAGCTATTGTCCCAAGAGAGTCGCAGTAAGAGGCTTCATTGATTAAAAAAATAAATAAAACAACAGCAGTGGAGAAGCTGGTCTCATTAAAATAAGGAGCTCCATATAGGCTAACAAGAGCTCTAGCATACTAACTGCCAAGGGAAAACAAAAGGCAGCCTAATTCACAGAGAGCACTCAAAACACGAACAAAGCAAAATAGTCACACAGCAGCTATCACAAGAATGCTCAGCATCTGCAGTTTTGTGGCATGCCTAACAAAAACTAGTCTTAAAAAAAAAAAAGAAAAGGAAAAATAAAAAAAAAAAGAGGAGATTGAGGAAAATTGTGGCACTTGAACTTCAAGGGCCTGCTCTTCTAAAACAAGTTATTTTGTAAGCCCATATGCCAAAGGGCTCTCTAGAAAGTCAAACAGCTTCACTTATTATCAGGGCACCTGAATAACGTTTAACAAAAAAACCTCTGATGATACAGACTACCCTGCACGAATTCTGAGTTGAAAAAACAAATATAGTAACAATTACCCATTTTCAGATCCCAAACAGTCCAGCTCTGAGATCGCGGGGAATACAGATTAACGTAGCCTTATCACTTACAGGGAGAGGCACGAGATGAGAAGTCTGCCACGTTCAAGCAGCCAGCCTGCAAAGGTGCAGAAGGTGCCCTGGTGAGGCAAATACTGCCGTACCAGGTAGAGTCATAACCAAATCTGACTTCTAAAACCAGTTGGGTTCCCTGCATCAAAAAGCTGTACATAATGAATGAATCAAGTATTTGGTATTGAATTCAGTCAGCTTCAGCTAGAACCGTATCAGTTTCCATGCATGCCAGTTTTTTCAACTCAGCTTCATTCAACAGGCATTTGGTGTTCAGGGCTCAGAGCTGTGAAAGCAAAGACCCCAGAACGAAAATGTACCATGTATCACCTCCCACGCATAGCCTCAGGCCATGCCATTCCCATCTCCAGGCCAGCTGATATCCCCAAGGTGCCTAGGAGGGCTCTCCACCTGCTTCACCCCTTAAAATGCAAGCGCTTCCCAACCAGGGGGACAACCAGCCCAGCTCCAAGTTCAGCAAAGGTAGAGGTCCCCGATCCCCCACACCACTCCCAGAAAATACCTCATTTCTGCTGGCGCTTCTGCTGCCAACAGGCTCTGTGAGATGGGAGGAGAGGAGAAAGGCTGCCTAATAGTGCCTTACGGCTGGATCAATACAGCGACACTGATTGACTGCGAGGCGGGCGGTCAGCCCCGAACGATATACTGGGGAAGGCAGGAGCTGCCTTCGGCTGGCCGACTGCCAAACCTCCAAATAAAGGACTAGAGCTATGGATCAACATTAGAAAAGAGAGGTGAGAAAAAAGGTACCTATCTTCTGACACGTGGCACAGGGACAGCATTTCTCAGGAAAGGGGGTGCAGACATACCCCGGACATGACACCCACAGGACAGCCTCGCAAGACTGTAGTCTGCTTCTGCTCTCCAGAGATGCCCACCACTTTGCCCCCAGGCCATCTGAGAAACAGTAAAGTCAGCAAATACTAAAGCACTTTACGCAAATACCTCAGGGTGCTAAACACATGCTCTTAGATGCTACACAAGATAGCCTACTTAGTATCAGTTGTATCAGGTTTTATAGATCATTCACCGGGGCCCAACCAGCAAGACACGCTGCACTAATTACAAGCCATTCTGTAGCACAAGATGAAGCGAGTCCAAGTCCCATTTTACTCAACTGCACAGTTTCCAAAGAAACAGAAAAAAAAAATCCACAACTCCACAGATACCTAAAACAGAGATGAAGCAGCCGTTGACCTAGCTTAAGCAGAACCTAAAAGGATTCACAGACTCATTAAAAAGCCTTGGGTTCACAGACTCATTAAAAAATCCTTGGGTAGGAACACTTTTACATCTTCACCCTATATTTAAGATATATCACACATCATCTTCTATTCCATCAACACCCAAAGGCAGTCACAACAGACTAACGCAGAGCAGCTGGAAAGTGTAATTAGTCTTGACAGTACCTACTGAAACCCACATTTTTAAACACTCTGAAATGAAAGAAGCTGTCAAGTCAGTATCTGCTGAAACCTACAGCCAAGATTTTTTTTTTGTACACATATCCTAACATGCAGAAGAAAAGAGGTAGGCACAACAAGAGACATCCATGAAGCACTACTCTCTCCGTCACTACAGCAATTAGAGAGCCCTTTTGTTGCATGACTGAGTCAGCAGGAGCTCTGCTTCCCTGGGGAGGCCTCAGAGGCACGAAAGAGAAAGAACCAGACTAGTCAGTCCAAGGTGAAGGGCTTTTAAGGTGGCAACCAACTCCTTACATTAAAGCACGCTGACTGCTCTCCTCGGGGACTGCCTTTCCGCACCTTTTGGTGACAGCGTACACAGCACGTGGCAGCGAGCCCGCTCTCCCCTTCCAAAGGGCGGCAAAGGCTGTGGATTCACCTGTCAGGTGAGAGAAACCCACTTGAAATCAGGGAGGGGCACTTCATCTCAACAGCTGGCATCTCTGCAGGAGACGTGCAGATGGCTCCTTTATCACAAGAGCATCCAGTTTGGGGAGAGGCTGGTTAACAGGAGATACGCTACCCCTGCCGCTCGCTCACGTTCACAAACAAACTCTTCTCTCCCTCCCATTTCCACCCCACGCTTCTTCCAGCAAAGCAACACTGAGGGGAGCATCGCTTGATGTCCAAGAAGCAGGCTGCTGGCTGGCCATAGTCAGGAAGCATTTATTATGACTTAAATATAAAATCCTGTATGATGAAAGATCCACCCAGTACATTTAGAATTACAAACACATAGGCCAGCTATGCCTTATAGGTCCTAAAGATATACACGTACTTTTTCCCATGTCTTGATCTGACACTATGCCAAAGGTGACACACAGCATCCCTGGAACACAGCCAGCTTTTGGGCAAAGAAAGGAGCCAGACATTTTTCAGCTTACTAAACAATATGAATGAGTATTTTAGCCAAGAGCACTAGGGCAAATTTCCTACACAAATAGCACCGCATCCTCAAATGCTTGCGTGAGGCACAGGAGAGACTGGTTTGAAGGGTGTTATGCAAAAACTCTCCCCTCTCCCTTCCCCAGGGTAAGTTTCGCGGCACTTCACTTCCCACATCGATGCCAGTGAGGCTAACTCGCCCGGATGGGAGCTGCTGCCCCTGGAAAGGTGACCATAACAGGCTTAGCCCAAGACCGGGGTCTGTCCCCGCTTCACGGGGCTCCCCGCGACGTGCGATGCTCAACACTTTTTCCACGCTGCCCCTATAGATAGGCGTAACTGACCGCTCCGTGAGTGACACCGCTCCGAGTGACACCG